GTAAGGTGAGACCACACTCGAATCTGAAGACGCCTATTGATTTAAGTATTGACCAGAATTATTAGACTAATGTTTTAAGGTCAAAAATGATAAAAAGAGAGGAACTGTTAAGGAATAATTCTTCTAGATATCTAACCTTTTACTCTGACATGTGTTATCTCCTTTAAGGAAAGGCCTTGGTGCCATATGTGTTGTTGTCACCAGTGTGTGACCGGTCAACTTGACTGGCACAAAGGGTAATTGTTGTGGGAACACTGAGGCACTTCTTTATCGGTGTTTGTGGGCTCTAGGATGTGAAATCCTTGAGGCCATGAGCGTCGGACGCAGGTGATTCAGTGTTTAGTCTACTCCTTCAGAGATGTTGATTTCTCTCTGTGAACCTGTTAAAAGGTCTAGCATAGAGAGAGGTTCTTCAGAATTGACGTGGCAACTCTACCGTGTGGTCAGAACCTCTGACTCTTGGATTTGTGATGTGAATCCTCCGGCCGAATACTCTGAATAAACCCATCAGTGTTTGACATCAAAGCTCCAACTCTCACCGTGTCTCCTTCCTGAGTCGGTGACTCCATGCATTACTACACAGAAGTTTCCTCCACAAATTGGCGTTGTCGGCAGGATACCAACAGATCTTCAGAGACTGGTAAGTGTGATTTCAAATCTACATTTGGACATTGCCTTACCAGAATCTGTGATTGACGGTATCCTAAAATTATCTGTGAAGCTAAGCGGCTGCGTTTTGTTTTGGTTAATGAACATTTGGGGCTAGTAACCCCAGGGGATCATCCAGGGACTCTGTCTTGGCTGGTTCCCTCTGTGTGTGCTGCTCGGGACGTATGTGCCGTGCAGGCATACACGGAGATGTTTAAAAAGACCTTAATGAGGGCAGCAGTAAAGTGGAACTTCTGTGTGAAATCAAAATAGAGATTTGTAATGAACAAATCGCCGAGATTCCGGGGGTTTCAGCGGCCAACACTAGCAGTTAACTAAAGCAGCCAGAGATATTACCCCCCAGCGCCTCTAAAAAAAACACGGCTCCAGCTGCGGCTCCGGGGAATGTGTGTAACATACCTCCCCGTATCTGCATGAGCTGGTGAAGTGAACTCAGAGGGAGAAAATCACAGCTTTTGTCTATAACTTTAACTCACACCACCGCCGTCTCTATTAAAAACGAGACGGTTTAAAAGCACTCTTGTGGCTTGTGGCCGTTTACGACGTGCTGGCCGGTGCGAGGTGCGTGCATTACCTGATGCGACAGGCTCCCTACATTGCTGGAGGAGCTGGTGTCGGTCCGGGGTGCATACATAAAATTATAGGCTAATTGATCATGGGTGGGCAGTGGTATGCAAGTGTAGAGCAAAACTGTGTTTCATCGTTGTGATGAACATGATGGGAGGTGTGTAGGCTGGTCGAGTAGGACTACAGTTAACTGTGTGGTTTCGGATAGAAAGGGTAGAGGAAAAAAGTCTATGTGCTCCAGATCGGGGGGGCATAGCACCACTAGAGCAGGGATAGTGGGGTTGCAAGAGGATAAGCTAGTTATTGCTCTTGGACGGTCTTCAGGCACCGATCTAAGGACTTGTATACAAGGGTGGGCGCACGAGTCAAGGTGCCCCACTGGATTCCCCATTGGGGAGAGATCATATAGTCCCTACCCCCTCTGAAACCTCTTTAATCCGGACTAAATTGAGCTGGATGAACTTTTGCTGTCACGCTGGTGTTTATTACGAGTTCATCATGTTTGTTCGTCTAATTGCAGTGTGGTTTTTCTTGTACTAACCGCCGTCTTGTGCATGTTTTGTAACAACTAATAATGAATCAGTCCATAGCCAGGGTAAAATAAACTAAGCTTTAGTTAACTCACCAAAAGTAAATGACTTGAGAAAGATAAATAATATATAGTGTTTTGCAAAATTCTGGTAGTATAGATGTGCTGCAAAATGAAAATAAATAGCAAAAGAGTGTTTTTATGTCCTGCATCTGAGTGTGCAGAGGAAATGTAAACAAGAAGCACACTGTTCAGAGTGTGCGCTGTAGGTGTAAGAAGAAAATAAGATTATATTACTTTTAAGAATACATTCTGCATGCCTGCATGTCCGGCTGCGCTCGCTAACGGCTAACGGACAGCTGACGACTAGCGGCTACCGGCCAGCAGCTACCGGCTGACTGCTTCCATGTCGACATCCAACTGTTAGCCCTTTTTTTTTTGTGGTGCCGGAGAGGAGGTTCGATCAAGTCTGGTCGGCCTCGTGTGGATCCTCTCGCGATTTCGCCCACCTGTTTTTAATCGTGGACGGGACGACCCTTTTGAGTTTTTTTCTTCTGGTGCCTGAGAGGAGGTTCGACCATGTCTGGTCGGCCTCGTGTGGACCCTCTCGTTTTTTTCACCACCTCGACGGTGGCCCATGCCTTCTTCGGCCCGTGGGTGGCGCGCTTCTGGACCCTGTCTCGCCTCGACTCTACGGTTTCGGACGTCGCCCATGCCTTCATCGGCCCGTGGGTGGCGCGCTTCGGGACCCTGTCTGGCCTCTTCCTTCGCCTCGGCAGCAGCTTCGGACGTCGCCCACGCCTTCGTCGGCCCGTGGGTGGCGCACTCCCGGACCCTGCCTGGCCTCTCCTCTAACCGCGGCTCACGGTTCGCCTCGACGGCGGCATCGGACGCCCTCGCCCTCGTTAGTGCCCCTACCCTCTCCTGCGGCCCCCCTTCCAACGGCCCGTTCCATGGCCCGGCCCTCGCCGGCGGCCCCGCCCTCCTCGGCCCTCTGCAGCCAGCAGCACAGGATGGTGGGATTTCAGCAGTACTGGCTAGCACTGCAGCTTCGGTATGTTTGATAATTTGTGAAAAACAGCGAGGGTGTAGTGATCACTGATTCATACACTGGGTTACATAATCCAATCATGGAACTACAGGTTGGGGGTACTGTTTCCACACGGACATATATGTTGTTGGTACTTACTGCGTGCCCTCCCTTTCGCTTTCTCTTCTCTTCCCGGGCTGCGACCCGACAACATGTCCGTTTCTGCTGCTCATTAAAGTTCTCATTTGCACCTTCGATGCACCGCCTCCGACTCCTATCTCTCGGCACTACAACATAATATTAATGTTAGTAAACATAAATGTAGAAATACATTAAAGATATGTGTGTTCTGTTTTATTCTCAACTTATATTTTTTTATTTATACATTTATTTGTTTTTTCTAGTGTTTATTTCTGTATTTATTTCCACATTTATTTATTTATTGCTGTATTCATTTATTTTTCTTGCATTTTTTTTATTCCTGTATTTATGTCATGCTCTGTCATCAATACAGAGCATGACTGTGCAGTTCGTTCCGTGCATAAAGGATCAAATTCACTCAAAATCACCAGCAAGACCTATAGTTGGGCATTCAGGATTTTTTTAAGGTCCCCTATTGTGCAAAATGTACTTTTTCATGTCTCTTCTACATAACCATGTGTCCAGTCTCTGTAAATTCTGAAAGTTTCAGGAAAAAAGATTCTCTCTCTTTTTGTCGTGATCCATTTATATAAAAACCTGTCTGAAAATGAGCTGATCAGATTTTGGCCACTTTATGATGTCATTACGATGTTTTGGCTTGTGTAACCATTAGCCAATCACCAACCAAGGTAACCCCCCCCCCCCCCCCCCACCTTATCACCTGAATCTCCTCCTAGAGCACCATTGTGTTCTTTTTAACCAAATATCTCTCAGAGGGGCGTGGGGAGTGGCTCCTTATTTTCATCTAAAGTAACAGACAGAGAATCAGCACTTTTGAAACAGGGCTGAAACAGAGGGGATTATGGGATGCTGCAATGATCTGTTTGGTGTTTCAGACAAACACTTCAGAGACATGTTTTGTATATATCTGAGACCTATAATATATTGATGAAAAACAGTATAATAGGGGACCTTTAAAACACATTGGCTTTGATGCATGGGGTAATGATAATGAAAACCTTCACAGATTTACCAAGTAGAAAGCATGGATTGATTAATAATGGGGATTTAATGCTTTGCTCAAAGGTTACAGTTACATGCAAAAACCCCATCACAACAGTGCTTCGGTCATTTCATAATTCAAGGGCTTTTATGAGTATCTTAGATTACTAATTTGATTACTGCAAATACTAATTCGTTGTAAGAGTAACTTTTTTAAATGGTGGTCTTCCAGTTACCCTGACTGTGCCTCCCTCTGGGGGGGCTTTACGGTAAGGACAAGGACGTGGGAGAAAACCTAACACAGTGCTACCCTTTTCACAGTTCTTATTTTTATTAATTTATTTATTCATTCATTTATTTATTTCCATATTTATTCATGCATTTATTTATTCTAGTATTTATTTATTTACACATGTATTTATTTATGTATTTATTTCCTAATTTATCTATTATTTTATTTATTCCTGTATTTATTTCCGTATTTATTCCTGTATTTATTCATACATTTATTTATGCATTTATTTATTTATACTTATTTAATAAATACATTTCAAATAATTAAAAAAGAGGCACTCGTGGTTGTTGCAGTTGCATGTAGTGTAAGGTGCAGAGAGGTGAGACTCTGTGCATATTTTACATTTGGGTTGTTTCCATGACCCCTATTTGAATAAAATAAAAATATATTGTCAATGCATAGCACGTTTATTTATGAAGCAATTATGTCAACACAATGCAATCCAAAAAACAAACGTATTAGGACATAGTGCAACAGAATACCATTAGAAAATTACATTTACATGACCTTTACATACATTCAAAGCAGTCATTTTTATCTGTAAAGCGATTTTTTTCCCCCGTTTCCATCAATACTTTCTTGAATATTCTGGGGTTAACATGTTGCTCATATGCGAAAAATGTGCAACGTTAATGCTGTTCCCGTCGATTGGTCGATTCATTCCAGAGTCGTCATAGTGGGACGTTGTGATTGGCCCGCTGCTCGATCAATCACCAAAACGCCGGTCCTGTAGGCGGGGCATCGGTTGGTTTACCGCTGTGGTTTTCTTCAAGATGGCGAGGCTACATCAGTTGAGGCAGTATGGCGGCGCATGTAGAATACAATAATTTAGAAAGGTAGTCAGGTGCCCACAAAGAAGACAGCCGTCTCATTTTAATTGGTGAGTATTTCTCTAATAAGCGGTTTTTTGGGCTAGCTGACCAACGGATATGTGTGTGGCTGCTTGTTAGCATATTAGCATGGATGTTAACTAGGGGCCCGTTGTGCAGCTGCAGAACAGACGAGGCTTTTATCAATTTGTATTGCCTTTTATTTACCTGTTATTTGAACTTAGATACTCGTATTCCCCGGAATAATAAACCATATGTTTATTTTCCTTTATTCAAGAAAGAATATATGCAGTGGTGTAAAGTAACTATGTAGATTTACTCAAGTACTGTACTTAAGGACCATTTTGAGAGAATTGTACTTCAAGTGAGTATTTAAATTGCTACTGTGTACTTCTACTCCACTACAGTTCAGAGGTAAATCGTGTACTTTTACTTCACAACATTTATTTAATAGTTAATACCTTTTGTTACTCTACTACAACTGAAGTAACATCCACAAGCTGCTAATACCTTTGTACTTTTACTTGAGTAACATTTTGAATCCAGGACTTTTACTTGTAACCCAGTATTCCTACACTCTGGTACTTGTACTTTTACTCAAGTACAAGATTGGAGTACTTCTCCCACCTCTGTACATATGTATATCAAACATTATATACACACACAACATTGACATTCGGGTTACATAGGTACATATACAGAGTAAATAAAGACACATGTAAAGAAAATATTTATAAAATAATAAAAGGTTTTGATTATTTTAACTATTTGTAATTGTGGTGCCATATTGATGTTATTCTAAGCACACATGTGCCAAAGCAGTTTAGAGTCAGTCCATTTATTCTTGTGAATGAGAAATGTTCCCCACAAATAAAATTAGTTGTTTACAAAAAACAATATTTGTATAAAATCGATCACTTTTAAAGTGTATCGCTTGTCCCATTTTTCTTTTATGACTCAACATCAGTCCAAGGCATTTTAGGGTTAGGGGGATGACATATTCTCTTCATGTAAATAACAAAAATTACAAGAATATTCTATATACATTTCATATCTCTAGTGTATTTTAAAAACCCATATGTTACGTTGAATATCGTTTAACGTCTTAAGTGACAGCTAACGTTCCTCTCACTTGTCCTCTTTTGCAGCTTCCAGAAGATTCAAGTGGAGGATGATCAGTGCCTAGATCCCATATTAAGCTGAATGCATTGTGATTTCCAATAATTGAGACAGTGATTCTGAAAGCTGTCTACATTAATGAAAAGAACAATGTAGACAGCTTAGCAATTTCACCTCTGGTACGTGGTCTATACAGGGATGTGCTTCTGCATGCTGCATTCTGGGTTCAGATAGGAAGAAAGTGTCTTAAAACAGGTCAGATTTTAGAATAAATTATCAGTGCGTATAAGCTGTAGTTCGTTATTCAGTGGAAATGGAGATAGACGATGTGCTACCCCCTCTCCCCTTGGATCCACCTGGTTTTTTTGACCAAGATGAGGGCATAGCACCTCCACCACCTCCCCTGCAAACGTCCAGTGACGCAGAGGTAATGGACGTTAGCTCTGGTGGTGATGGACACACAGACACCCCAGGGGAAGGGGAAGCCATGGCACAGCAACCCCTCGCTAAGGGCTCAATCACTTTCTGTAGCCACCTCTCAGACGAGGCCATTCCCAACCCTCAGTGCCCCAGAACAGCCCGCCACGCCCCCCCAGTCTCCGGGTTCCTACCAGACCTCAAGCTGCTCAGAGATGTTAAGATCCGTGTGAGCTTCACCGAAAGCAGCAGCAGCAGCAACATCAACAGCAAAGACAGGAAGGTTTTGTACACAGGCGAAGGGCAGGAGGCAGGAAGTGATGATGGTTTAGACAGCATGAATGGTGAGATGCATGACTCCGGTGAGGGAAGCTCTGGAGCAGGAAACTTAGCAGGCAGGAGATCAGACGAGTCCGAGGTAGACATGGAAAACAAGGTAGAGTTTGCCGTCCTGGATGAGCTCGACGACTACTACGAGAACTTCCTGGATCATGACGACACGGAGCACGGTGGCTTTAAGTCTGAGGGCATAGCGCAGCAGGATCAAGCGGATGAGGAGACCGTGACTTTCGCCTATGAGGTACGTCTGTTTCTATGTCTGCAGTAACCCATGCGATTGTCAGCTACACACACACATTTTGTCCTTAACTGTCGAACAGAAATATTGTAAGCCTATTACAGTTCATTTAAGACAGGGTGTTATTAACACTGTCATTTCTGCGAGACCACTGCAGTGGCAAAGCGGTTGTGCAGACATGGCAACAAAACGACAAGGATGTCCAGTTTTAAAATGTTAATTTTGCTGCAGTACAACATCGAATCTACCTTGCCTTAAGCTGTAAGAACCTTGAGTATTCAGCTGGCCTGTTTATCCTTTACAGTTGCAATTTTGTGTTAAATACATGTTGTGCTTTTGGGGGAAAATAGCACAAACTGAAAGATTAAGTATAGCTAGAAGTACTTTTCTAATGTTATCCTAATTTAATACTGCACCACTCCTAGTTAAGTCGGGATACATATAAGCAGCAGGAATTCAGATACATGTTTGTTTTTGTTTATTATTTCTTTGTTTTTTATTACTGAAAATGAGAAGTGAGATGCTGGAAGAGGTTAGTGACATTTTTGATTCCTCCCATTACATTTGGGGTTTTCTTTTGATGCAAAAATCCATCAATATTAATAGAGGGGATCGAAGCTTCTAAAATAATGACATTCAATTTGTAGGGGTTGACATCAGTCCAATATGGTCTGTCTCTAAATCCAGGAGTATTTGACTTTTGTCTCCAAGTGGGGGACTGATGATTTTTCAATATATTGTGCACTCCTTTTTTTTGTTTGTTTCTCCGTCACATGAGACTAAGCTGTTTTAAACTGAGGCCTGTACTACGAAGACGGATTTTCGCTTAGCGAGCTAACTTCAGGGTTAACTCTGGGTTTCCGGTCCTACGACGCTGGTTCTCTTTTTACCGGGCTAGATCTCCATGGTAACTTATGCTGAACGGCAAACCTGCTCCGGAGCAGGTTTGGTTCCAGGATAAGAGATCAACTCAGTGAAAGCACCGCCTGCTGACCAATCAGAGCTCCGTGTGCGGAGTTTAAAGCTATCAAGTCATATTACAGGATAGAGGAAATACAGAAAAACTGCCGTTGCAGGAAAGACAGCCGGCAAAAATCAACTGACTGTGTGAACGTGAAAATGAATAGAATATCCCCTCCCATCTTCAGAGCAATCTGACTATTATAACATTAGCGTTAAGAAAGCTTACTTAAATATCTGCCACAACATAAGTAACCGGATCAGAGTAACATTAAGTACAGTCCGCGGCACTGTGAGTGCAGACGTAGATGTGTCCCATTATCATTCATATCATATCACATCATAATGTATCATATATTTCCTTATCTGAGTCAGCTTCTTGAGCCGTATCTGGCCGTGCAACACTCACAGTGTCACATACTGTATGCAGAAGTATTATTTTAAGCAACACATTAAGTTGACGAAACACTCGAGTCAAATGTAATTAAAGTCAGATCGTGTCTTGGACGGGGCAGTGATATCATAAACCTGTTAATGTACGCATTCAAACACTTTTTCTTTTACCAGCTGTGTTCACCTTGCAGGTGCAGCTATGTGGCTTTTATCCTGGATAAAGTGTTTAAGTCATGGATGTTTAAAGTTTAACGTCTTAATATTTGTCTAATATTATAGTTCACTTTTCATTCAGGAAGTATGACGCTGCGCTGTCAGTACGCTTGTCCATGTTTGTGATTGGCCAAATGTTGCTAACCCCGCCCCTTTCATGTGAACGCGCACTCAGCCGGACAGAGAAACCCTGGCTTGAGTTACCGAGTTGATAACCAGCGTCGTAGGACTGCTTAGCGAGAGCGCGTTTGTTTTGGGTTAGGTAAGCCGGGTAACTCAAACGTATCCAGGGTCTGTTGAACTGGATTCGTAGTACAGGCCTCTGGTGACCCAATCTTCTCTCCCGGCCTTAACCACTCACTCTTCCAGGAGGAGTTTGACAACGATGTGGACGCCTTGCTGGAGGAGGGCATGCCTGTCCCTAAAAAGATGCGTCCGTCAGAGGACAAATATGGCGGGGAAAGTGATCACCCGTCAGACGGAGAAGGAGGGGTTCAGCCCATGATGACCAAAATTAAGACTGTCCTGAAGAGTGAGTGGTGGATCTGTCTGTGTTTGTTTCTGGTTCCATCAAATAATCATGGAGTGCAGTTTCAGTACTTTGGGGCACAATACTAATATGATATTCAAAATAGTAAATGCAAGAGTCAAAGTGACCTGTCAACATACATTTAAAAAGTCCTAAATGATCCAAATTGTTAAATGCGCTCATTGTTCAAAACTCTGCATAATAGTGATCAAATAATTGTTAAAGGTGTGTGTGACCTGACCTATGACATGATCTGATACCATATCCAAATACATGAACTTGTGTGTGCAACAACTAGATAAATGTTTCCGCTCACTTCTTTTTCGGTAATCCAACATTGATATTCAACTATTAGGTGACACAAAGTTGAATTAATGATGTTCCTACTATTGTTTCATAACTACATTTTCCCGCCACTGACGATCAGCCTCCTTGGATAGAATAATCCACCGCCTAGTGGGAATATCTCTCCACTGATATGAATGGAGAGATATTCAGTTATGCATTAAAAGTGTATTAATTAGCACCTGCTTTTTTACATTTCCCCCCACACCAGGTCGTGGGCGCCCCCCCACTGAGCCTCTCCCAGACGGATGGATCATGACATTCCATAACTCGGGCATTCCCGTCTACCTGCACAGAGAAACCAGAGTGGTGACCTGGTCCAGACCCTACTTCCTTGGCACTGGCAGTATTAGGGTAAGATGCAACACAAGTGTCTTTATAAGCTTCCTACATTACACACGTGAGCACTGTATCAAGTTGTTCATCCTGTGGCAGCTCAATTTCCCATTCAATTTGAGTCGCCGAGAGGCTAATAAGCTTGGCTATAAACTGTGACGTGTTTTCAATGACAAAGTCCATACTGAAGTACAAATAATAAACTCAGGCTAGGTAGCATTTTGGCTCCTACAGATCCTATTATGGCCCATTTCCACTACAGCGCGGCTTAAGCGTGCCAAGCCGTGCGCGGCCCGTTTTTGGTTGCGTTTCCACTAGGCGTAGTACCGGCTAGCGGGTACTATTTCACAGTTTGTCTGGCCCCATAAAATCGAGGTTCTTTCCGGGCCAACAACCAGGCTGAGTCGGGCTGAGTATGCTAAACTAGAGAGAGAATCGCTGGCAAGGGGGCTACAACTACAACAAAATTAACATATTTGACCTGATTTAATTGTAATACACGTTTCAAAATGATGCCGAAGTAACAACATACTGATACCGGTTAGTAAAAACCATGAATTAATGCTTTGACAAGTCTGCAGACAGACGGCAGGCGAAAAACCTTTTAAAATGTGTGTTTTCTGAATGGAGATCGGCTAAGCTAACGCAGTATATGCTCCGACCGTCCACACTCACAACAACGGCCTACAGACATAAATAAAGCAGCGACTGTATTCACCATGACACAGGCAGTCTGTGGTTTGTACTTGTTTCACTTTTGTCTAGTTTCTGAACAGATATGAGGAGCTGTGAGCTCTGAGTGCTAACAGCTAACGGCTGATGTTGGTTTTCTGTGTTTCTCATTGAAGATGACGTCACGGCTCCGCCTACACTGCGTTACTATAGTTACTGCCCCAGCTACTAAACTGTAATGGAAACGCAGCATAAAGTGAGCCAGTCCTAACAAGGCCTAACTATACCGTACTAAGCCGAGCGTGGCCCTGCAATGGAAATGCGCCATTAGTTGGCTGCACCAAAGGGTATTTATTATAAGAAAATCTGTAGTTCATTAGACCAGCATGCCTTTCAGCAGATTAGGCGGTCCAATGTTTTAAAAACAAGTTTATATTTTATTACAAAGGTATGTGAACATTTAAAATAAATCACACTAACAGATTATCCCGGTCAAAACCTGTATTTACTGGATTACGGAAAGACTTTAGTGATTCTCTCTCAGTCTTCTTGCCACCATTTTAAGATGTTGTGCTTAGCATTGTTGAGCAAACCCACCGTAACAATCTGATGGCATCATGTTTCATACCTCTCAAATCTATTTATTCTATTCCAAACAGTGAGCATTTCATAAGACGCTACGATAAAGTCGACAATGGCTTCAAATTCACCACGGTTAACATTTTGTAAAAACTCTTGGTCTTCTTTCCTGGTACAGAAACACGACCCTCCGACCAGCAGCATCCCTTGCCTTCACTACAAGAAGATCAAGGCTGTGGAGGAGAAGGAGCTGAATGGGGAGGTGACCCAAAATGTAGAGGTGACCCAAAATGTAGAGGTGACCCAAAATGTAGAGGTGACCCAAAATGTAGACGTGACCCAAAATGTAGACGGGACCCAAAATGTAGACGTGACCCAAAATGCAGAGGTGACCCAAAATGCAGAGGAGACTCCTGTCAAACCAGTTGATGAGACCAATGGTGAAGAGATGGCCGGTCCCTCTGAGGCTCCAGCTGAGGAGCAGTACGCTATCCCTCCCTTCATCGTGATTGACGGGGTCCACGGGGGAGGAAGTACCCCCAAAATAAGCCTGGCGTGTAAAAGGCCTCACGCATTTGACACTGCACAGGGAGCATTGGGACAAGTGAGAGCTAAAGTGGAGGTGTGCAAGGACGAGTCCATAGGTAAGAGCTGTTTATATTACATTGTTTGCAGTATTTTTTTTCTCAAATCGTGCAGCCCTTCCAGTGATAGAAGTCGTTGTGTTTTTGCTGCTGTAAGACTTTAAGCCAGGGGTGTCCAAACTTTTTTCACCGAGGGCCACATACAGAGAAATATACGAAGGGCTGGGCCGCTCACTAGAGGAGAGGTTTATTGCCTCTTAAGTTCAGTTATAAGTTAGCAACATGAATCAAATGTAGGTACATGATGCTTGTGGGTGTTGGCAGCTCATCCCTTAAAACAGAAGCCTCAGATTGATTATAATAATGAGAAATAGGAAGGGTGTATTTCAAGCTTGTTATGGAAATAAGTCATTGGGCTTTTTTCTTATCAACTAAGATATGTTCGAAAATGTTTCCAACTTTAATCGAGTGAATTTATTTGAAAAGTGGTCTCATTAACACATGAATACTACTGTGCAGAGTTCGCCTTAACTGAATATTTTCTGTCTATGACGGATTTTTTTGAACGATGACGGAAAAATCTGAAAGCAGTCTGTCATTTTGACGGATTAGAACAAACTCGGAACAGCGCCAAAGCTTCCCCGCAGCGAGGCTCCGGTGTTATGCCGTGTTATGCATGCCCGCCAAAAAGGAAATGATACCGTTTCCAAACCTAACTTTGCCGTACAAATAATTGAAATGTCTGGGAGTTTTCGCTGTGCGCGCTCCTGTGAGGTGCAGTGGGCATGCATAACACGGCATAACACCTGCGCTAACAGTTCACGAGCGTGCGTGTGTCCCCCCCCCCCTCCCTCCGCTGAAAGTTCATGAGCGTTCTCTCTCTCTCTCTCTCTCTCTCTCTCTCTCTCTCTCATCTCTCTCTCTCTCTCTCTCTCTCTCTCTCTCTCTCTCTCTCTCTCTCTCTCTCTCTCTCTCTCCACATCTCTCTCTCTCCACATCTCTCCACATCTCTCTCTCCACATCTCTCTCTCTCTCTCCCACATCTCTCTCTCTCTCTCTCTCCACATCTCTCTCTCTCTCTCTCTCCACATCTCTCTCTCTCTCCACATCTCTCTCTCTCTCCCCCCGTCAGAGTTGTGTACAGAGTAGACCGACGGCGAATAATGGATTTTGACGAAAATGTTACGATCCTGTCCATCATAATGACGGGCTGCGAAAAAGTCTAGCGCCACCTCTGCTACTGTGTAATATATGTTTACATTTATAGTTAAGAAGAACAATATAAGACAAGCACAAGTTTCATTTGTGGGCCATACTCCATTGTACTTTTGGAATTTGCTGAGGGCCGATTCAAAATGGGCCGTAGTTTGGACACCCTTGCTTTTAAGCTGTTTCTCATTAAAGTGATTATTGATCTTAAAACCTCCTCACAGACATTGACGAGTTCCGGATTTACCTGGAGAAATGCTTTGACTTTGAACAAGTCACTGTGAAGAAGTTTCGCACGTGGGCCGAGCGACGGCAGTTCAACAGAGACTTGAAGAGGAAGCAGGCGGAGTGTGAGCGGCCCATCCTGCCCGCCAACCAGAAGCTCATCACTCTGTCGGTGCAGGACGCGCCCACTAAGAAAGGTAACGCTTATATGGAGTCAAATCAAAATGTATCATAGCCCCAAATCACAAGAAATGCCTCAAAGGGCTGTTCAAAGCAAAGACAGTCCTGTTTTAAGGTAGTTTTAAAAAAAATGTTATTATAGATAATAGGGCTGCACAATTCATGTCATTGAAATTGCAATATAAACTTAGGGCAGTCCTACAAACGGTATTCTTGAGACTTTTTAAATAATCCTTCTTATAATATAATAAACAGATCCTTTTTTTAATGACACTGATCATTTTAATACATTTTTTAAATATGTATGTTAATGTTTTAAAAATGATCACTCACTCCTAGGGATGGGTATCGTAAAGGTTTTAACGGTACTACTACTTTTATCGATACCGCTTATCGATCCGGTCCTTTAGCGGTACTCTTATCGGTTCTTTTGGAGAGAAAAATAAGGTAAACTAACTAAACAAATTGTGAACAAAATGAACATTGCTTTTTATTTAAATTAAATAAATAATATTTCACATCAAAAGAAACAACTTTTTAACAAATCGTATTAAATAATCTGATGACATGTAAACAGAATAGCTGAAACTTTAACAAAATAAACAACTTTGTTACCTCTACTCATTAACTCATGTTTGTATCATTTAGTTAACTCTGTGTGTTGCTGCTAGCATACATAACACCTGACGTGGAAACGTTACTCGTGGATGGGGCTACAGAGCCACTAGAAAGACAGTCGAACCCGGTGCATTTCCTCCGTCTGAATGTGGAGCATTTTTGATAAATGTTTAGACAAATTGCTCGTGTTCCCGCCCTTACATGCTCAACTCTTATTGCACTTTTGGCAACGAGCATTGTCCTCATCGAGACGGGTAAAGTTTAACCACACCTCGGAGCGCTTTCTCTCCACCATCTCCTCCGTGTGTGTGTGTGTGTGTTGCTGCATGTAGCAGCTGCGTGTGTGTAAACTGCCCCGCCCCCTCGCACACAGACGGGGGAGAGAGATCTCTCGTCTGGATTGGAAAGATCGAAAATACTCAAAATAATACGCATTTGCAGTCCGTATTAGAAACGGAGTTGGCGACACTAAAACTGCAATATAATGTTTGTGTAGCAATAATACATATGACATATTTTTTACATGTCTCTCTCCAGTACCGATAAAAAGACCGATAACGTCCGAGCTTAACCACGGTCTTTAATAATTCAGCCCCGGGGCTCTGCACCCATTCCTACTCACTCTAATTTCAATTGCAATATCAGTCAAAGTAATTGCATCCTTTAATTTTGTACAAATCGTGCAGCCCTAATAGGTAACAAATGAAACCAATAACAACAACTAATGGTTTACCCCTATATATATTATCTGTGTAGCCTTAATATTACTTATTTCATTCATCTAAAATCACAATGTATTTGCATGTAGGTGGCATATGTTTGCATTGTAATGAACATGGCAGTATAATATTATGTGTTGCCTGTCTCTCGATCTCTTCCTTTGGTCTCGACTCTTCTGAAGTGTAATGACAGGAAGTTGCTAATTGCCAGCTTTAGATCAATTAGCAAAAGTGTTGAAATCTAAATCAAGTGCAGGAAACTTCCAAAAGCCTTTACACCAATATGTATTTCTTTTAACTGACATTTTTATACCAATATTGTTAAAGCTGTCCCTTTTCATAAGTGTGTTGATGCATTGTTTTTTCTTTTCTATTGTAACAGAATTCGTCATCAACCCTAACGGGAAGTCTGAAGTTTGCATCTTGCATGAATATATGCAACGTGTCCTAAAGGTTCGACCTGTTTACAACTTTTTTGAATGTGGTAAGTTCAACTTTTTTCTACAATTTATCTTTTAAGAGATTTAATTATTTAAAGCATGTTGTCAATTTTGCCTTGTATAACATATGGCGCATTTCCACTGCAGCACGTAGCACGGTTTAAGCGTGCCGTGCCGTGCCGTGCCAAACCCGGCCCGTTTTTTGGTTGCGTTTCCACTAGGGGTCGTTCCGGCTAGCGGGTACTATTTCACAGTTTGTCTGGCCCCATAAAATCGAGGTTCTTTCCGGGCCAACAACCAGGCTGAGTATGCTAAACTAGAGAGAGAATCGCTGGCAAGGGGGCTACAACTACAACAAGATGAACATATTTGACCGTGATTTAATTGTAATACACGTTTCAAAATGATGCCGAAGTAACAACATACTGATACTGGTTAGTAAAAACCATGAATTAATGCTTTGACAAGTCTGCAGACAGACGGCAGGCGAAAAACCTTTTAAAATGCGTGTTTTCTGAATGGAGATTGGCTAAGCTAACGCAGTATATGCTCCGACCGTCCACACTCACAACAACGGCCTATACAGACATAAATAAACCAGCAACTGTATTCGCCATGACACAGGCAGTCTGTGGTTTGTACTTGTTTAACTTTTGTCTAGTTTCTGAACAGATATGAGGAGCTGTGAGCTCTGAGTGCTAACAGCTAACGGCTGATGTTGGTTTTGTGTTTCACATTGAAGATGACGTCACGGCTCCGCCTACACTGCGTTACTATAGTTACTACCCCAGTTCCTAAACTGTAATGGAAACGCAGCATAAAGTGAGCCTGGCCTACCAAGGACTAACCATACCGTACTAAGCCGTGCGAGGCCCTGCAGTGGAAATGCACCAATAGTGTCTCTGATATATATCGTGACGTGTTCATCTGCTCATTCTGCCGTCACCTTTACACCCTCAATGTGCACAGCAGAAATGACTTCACCTCTTTTATAAGGTAAAGATTATTGTTGACTGTTATAAGACATGTAACTGAATGTGTGTGTGTGTGTCCACAGAGAACCCAAGTGAACCCTTTGGAGCGTCGGTCATTATAGACGGAGTAACGTACGGCACAGGAACCGCAAGTAGTAAAAAACTTGCCAAAAATAAAGCTGGTAATTTATTTTATTTATATGAATGAGAATTGTGAAAGACTGGTTGGTTCATTTCACATCTAAATAAACATTGTATTGGCTCAGAGTGCTTGAAATCCCAAATAGTGTTTATATTTTGTAACAATTGTCAGTGTGGAGCAAATGTACAGCTATGAAATCAGCCAAAGGGAATCACTTGTCCAGGTAAATTATAATCTAACTGTATTCTGTTCACCATGTTAATTGGAAAAGGTAACTTCATCAGCCAGAGTCATAAGCGTTCCCATACCAAATGCTGTTGCCAAGTACCACAAGAACACTTATAAGTAGAGATGTTCACAGCTGTCATTCCTCTAGGTGTCACCTTCGAGATAACGTCTTTATATTCTTACTATAATACAGTAGATAGTTGCACAGTTGGTTAATGTTCACGTTGTAATGCGTCCCTTCTTTCCCTCTCTCTGGTGGTTTGGTGTGAACTTCAGCTCGAGCCACACTGGAAATCCTCATCCCTGACTTTGTGAAGCAGACCTCGGAGGAGAAGCCCGTTGAGGGCGATGAACTGGAGGTACTTGAATATTATTGACACTTTTTCAGTGAAGTAGAAAAGAGTAAGTTAAAGTTATGTATCTTTGACATTAATGGCAGGTAACAGGACGGTTATATTTCCCTTGGAAGCATCCCTGAAATCAATGGTAACTCTGTGTGTTTTCTGCTCCACAGTATTTTAATCATATCAGTATAGAAGACACAAGAGTGTACGAGCTGACCAACAAAGCAGGACTACTTTCGCCATATCAGATTCTTCACGAGTGCCTTAAAAGGTAAGAGCTAATCCACAATGCCATCAAAGAACATTGGAATGAATATTGTTGGTTGTTTCATTTAAAGAAATGTCTATAATGAAAACCTATACACTGTCTTCTAGAGTATACAATAAATGAATGTGTTATATTGAACACAGGTGCTATTATTATTATTATTATTATTTGCCATGTTGTATAATTTTAATATACTTAATATCGCTTGGTGTCTTGTTTTCTGAGTAGACGTTGTCATTGTTGGCATTCCTGATGTGCTTTAAAGCCGCTGCCCTTCACAAAACACATCATTACAGCTGCTATCTTCCACTGCCGCTGCTTAGCGTTAATGACTTGTTGCAGATAAAACATGTTTTAAACGTACTGTTGTGTCTGTCCTGCAGAAACCATGGGATGGGAGACACCAGCATTAAGTTTGAGGTGATCCCCGGGAAAAACCAGAAGAGTGAATATGTGATGACGTGCGGGAAGCACACCGTGCGTGGCTGGTGTAAGTAATGCTCCTTGATCCACACGTGTAGAGCTGTGTAGTGTCGAGGAAACTAGTTTGAAATGCCATGTATGTTTATTCACATGTTGTGTACATGTGCCACCAGGCAAGAACAAGAGGGTGGGCAAACAGCTGGCGTCTCAGAAGATCTTACAGATGCTTCATCCCCACGTCAAGAACTGGGGCTCCCTGCTGCGCATGTACGGCCGAGAGAGCAACAAGATGGTGAAGAAGGTAAATTTGTTTCTACTAAAAAGCTTCTGTGGCCATGAAGAACTGTGGAAAGGTTTAGTTTTCTTAACCAGTTAAGCCCCATGCCCCCGGCAACATCTTGCGAGATGAAACAGCGTCTGAGGGCTTCTTAACATTTAATAAACTATGAATGTGTCCATTCCACTTAACGGGAAGAAACTCAGATCTTTTGCTAAACGAAACACAAGGGTATAATAACAAAGGCTCTGAATTAGCCCTGAGCGAAAAAATGCTAACGCACTTAGCACAGAACTCACGGTAAAATACCCTTATTACTTATCGTATCTGCACAAACACAGATTCCAGAAATATAAGTATCATCACTGAGCGATCAGAACTTGCGGCAGGGGAAGCAAACCCAGACATCACACCACGTAGCATTACGGAGCAAACACGGGACATTGTCTCACCTTTTGCTGTTTCTGATCCAAAGTTGTGTTCAATGGCATTAAAACGATAAACACGCTGCTGAAGGTTAATCCATAGGTTAATCCAATGTGTCTGTGTCACTTTGAAATGATTACTGATAATCCATCTTCATATTTATGTCAATAACGGAGTTTTTATATTAGCTGCTACCAGAGTGTATGACAGCTTCCGGTTCTGGGGCATTCTGGCTACGCATCACTCATTCACCAATGGGTAATGTTTAGATGGATTTTTAGGAACTTCCCCTCGATTCTATTGGCTCTAACGGTTCAAAAGAGGTGTCAGTCATTAAAATCGACCGACGGGGGCCAGAGATATGGAAAATGCACCCAAATGACCCCAGAAGTGGGTTATTTTTTCTAAATCTCTCTAAAAAGGTCAAATGTCACTTGTTTTGCATCAATCTTGATACAGGGTACTTATTATATGTTATAGTTTGGATTCCTAAAGCTTTTAGTCTACTATCCCATCATCCAAGGGTGGTTTTCACTATAAGTAATGTTTTGTTTTTTTGGACGGACACTATAATTTACATTTTTTTACTATGTTCAATCTGAATTTACTTTAAAATAAAAACATCCATATTGATTCTGACTTTTCTCCATCCAACTCACAGGTTTATCATTGCTTTGAGAAAAAAGATTGTTAATTTACCCCTTTTTAGAAGTGAAGATAAGGTCATTTGTTCTGGGAATGTCATTTTCGAGCCTGAGGCCTGAAAAACAGGCTCAGGGCTCAACAGGTTAATAACATTTCAGTTTTTTGTCGAGTGGAATTTTGTCTCACTGTAGCTTTCAGTGAGCAATTATCAGGCTATTTCAGTTGTACCAGCCATAAGCATTTCCTTAACCTTACTGCCAGAGAACAAGCAGTGAAATGTAAATGGTGATTATGCCAGAAATGAAAATGGTTTGTATTACTGTGTAAGCACATCTCCACCAATGTATTAAATGGACTGATGTTTTGCAGGAGAGCGCTGACAAGAGTGTGATCGAGCTCCAGCAGTTTGCCAAAAAGAACAAGCCAAACCTCCATATCCTGAACAAGCTGCAAGAAGAGATGAGGAAGCTAGCCACGCAGAGGGTGAGAGTTGGCTGCTTTTTGTGTAGCATGGCTCCAACATGGTGGAATGAGCTCCCCATTGACATCAGGACAGCAGAAAGCTCACACATCTTCCAGCGCAGACTAAAAACTCATCTCTTTCGACTCCACTTCGAGCGATACAATTACTAACAAAGCACTTATATACTAACAAAGTACTTATATACTAACAAAGTACTTATATACTAACAAAGTACTTATATACTAACAAAGCACTTATATACTAACAAAGCACTTGTATACTAACAAAGCACTTGTATACTAACAAAGTACTTGTATACTAACAAAGCACTTATATACTAACAAAGCACTTGTATACTAACAAAGCACTTGTATACTAACAAAGCACTTATATACTAACAAAGCACTTGTATACTAACAAAGTACTTGTATACTAACAAAGCACTTGTATACTAACAAAGCACTTGTATACTAACTAAGCACTTGTATACTAACTAAGCACTTGTATACTAACTAAGCACTTGTATACTAACTAAGCACTTGTATACTAACAAAGCACTTGTATACTAACAAAGCACTTGTATACTAACAAAGGACTGGCTTATCTAAAGCCAGTTGAGTAGCACTTGAAATCTTTTGTCTCTATGAAACCTGATGTACTTATATAATTCTGTTTTCTTCAAGTTTGTATCTTCTTGGTCGAATGCACTTATTGTAAGTCGCTTTGGATAAAAGCGTCAGCTAAATGTAATGTACAATGTTTAGCTTTGATCCTGTCCCATAACCCCATCCCAACTTTCGTTTGCTGAATTGTTACCTCATATTTAGATTTGAATGTGTTATTGGTATGAATATAGTTACAGGCTAAAGGAGAAACTAAGCTCTTGAAGTTTTGAAAACAGAGTCATTGTTATGTCTGTATCAGCGTAGCCGTTTCTATGGTTTAGCATTGTGAACGGATTGAATCTTGTAATTTTTAACATCTTGTACCATTTTCATATCATCTTCCAACAGGAGGAAACTAGGAAGAAGCCCAAGATGACCATAAATGAGTCGGCCCAGCCGGGCAGCGAGCCCCTCTGCACTGTGGACGTTTGAAGTCCCTGCTGGAGCACTGAAACCCCGTCACTGTCAGACACTCCACCCCCCATCACTGACACACACACACACACACACACACACACACACACACACACACACACACACACACACACACACACACACACACACACACACACACACACACACACACACACACACACACACACACACACACACACACCTGATGGCAATATAGATCCACATTGACCAGGCCAGTAGAAACCCTTCCTCAGCTGGTAGATGTGCACTAACAGTAGAGAAATATCACCTACCTCTCGATGCAAACTAGCTATACGGCACTTAAAAAACACTCCCCTAGCTGCAGACTTAGAAACATAAACAGATTCAAATAAAAATGCATGTTTCTCTGACCGCAGTCATCACCTTGGTTTTGTTTTGAAGTGTCGTTTTGAACACCTTGCAGCTATTAGTTTTGTGCTTAACGTATTTGAAAGGGACTACTAATACGTGTATCGTTTTAATCGGGAAACATACTAATTTATTTGGTATTTTAATGGTCGGTGTTATGAATATTTTTTGGGGTGAATACATCAAAAGAAATGCTGTTTTTGTTTATCCTCAGAATGGACACTTGCTGTCTTGGTTTGCACGATTTTGAAAACATGCGTTGTGAAGTGACGACTATTCAGAACTCTTGTTATGCACTTGTCACATGTTTTTGACTGATCATGCTTATGGTACAGGAGTAATAGTGGAGAAACGTGTTGCCTTTCTTGACCCTTTGCTTTTGGAAGTACAAGAATAAAACGTCCTAATCTCTGAAGTAAAACACAAGCACAGAAAGATATGTAGAGCGCGAAGGATCCTTTCTCTTATGCTCTCAAGAGTACTAATGCCACACACACACACCAATAACCATTTCATTAGCTTGTTTGAGTTGCCTTAGTTTATCAATTTCATGAAGGGCTCAGAGTATAATGGACCTAAAACACCCTTCAACAGGAAGTGGAAAGACCAAGCCCCCTGTACTCGATAAAGCATTTAGTATTTGAGTGAAGACAGCCTGTGCATATTTTTTCTGAGAATGGTCTTAAAGGATTGTTTTGCTTTTCCATTATTATAGTGATTATATTTTCAAAACACATGGTAGAATACACTTTTCAAAAGGCAGCCTTGTACATTTACGTTGGTACACTGACAGGAACAAACACAAGCTGGTGAGTGTGTATACCAAAGCTAACATACAGTCTTATGCATTTTATAGAGTCCTTATGTTACTAGAAACTGTACAGAAAAAACAACAGGAAATACACATTTCTTGCTGGAACAAACTACTGTGCATTCATTCTGTCAAGTATTTGGCCTGTTTTTTTTTTTTTACAAAGTAATCTTGAATACATCCCAGTTTAAAACAGGCTGTTGTGATATTGTAGGTTGATTTTAAGAATGTGCTTTCCGTTCTGTGCGTGTGTCAGTGTGAGAAGAAATACATACAGCTTTGTGTCGTTTGACATGTTGCTGCCTAGAAAATGAAGTATGTATTGCAACCTGAGCTCCATGACTTCAGTGGTGTTTGTTATGCAAAATAAAATGTCTTGACTAATGACTGGAAGAGCTTTTAATTCAGACGCAGAATGATGAAACACTCAACAGGAAGTAAACAAACTGAGGTGACACTTTAATAGGTGAAGCTACGTTTTCCATTGTAGTGGGGCATTGTCCTTCGCAGTTTAACAAAGTATCAAAAAACTAAATGTCTATCTCAGTTTTCTTTAAATGTAGTTTTGAAAGCTTATAAAATTAGCATTAGCAAAGCTGATATTATTTCTCACACAAAAGGGATAGTCCATAATGTTCAGTTAAGCAAATACAGTGCAATGCATTCTGTATTAACACTAACAGATGATTTCATGCACAAGCTATTGTCACGAAATAAAAGGACTGGTGAAAATGTATTGTTTGGATGCACAGACCCTTGAATGTAAGACTATAAGCTCTTGCAGATTACTAGAACAAAAGCTGTTGACTCCTGGGAGTACTGTTTGCATACACTTAAAGTATGGAGACCCCCATGCTACCTATCAAAGGCCGGGTCCCTCTCTGAAGGTAAGACCCCCGATGTGTCTGTCGCTCATTGCTTGGAGTCGTAGTCCACCCTCTCCAGCAGCAGCAGCATCTCCAGGTGCATCGTCTGAGGGAACAGATCCACGGCCATCGCTCGCACCGGGCGGAAAGCAGCGCCGTGAACTCTTTTAGACGGCGCTCTGCACAGACTGAGAGACAAAGAGGAACAACACTTTTTAGAATTGGTCACCTTTAAAATGTACTTTAGTGACGAGAAATACAGTGCGTTTATTCAGGGTCTTGCCTTTCACAAGTCCGTCAATACAGATGATACCGATAAAGAAATTGCTTTTAAGGATTAGTTTGTCCATAAAATGTACAAGTGTATAACAAAGCGGTCGTAAGTAAAATCTAAATAAAATTAAATATTATTTAAAAATGATAACATTAAAGGTGGGGTAGGTAAGTTTGAGAAACCGGCTCGAGATACACTTTTTGTTATATTCCATGGAATGCTCTTAACATCCCGATAGCAATGAATATCTTAAGTGCTTTGACAATAAATCCATAAAAAAATATCATCTGTGGAAGCCGTAGTACTGTAAAAAGCACGACCAATCATCTGAGCCGGCCCGGCTAAAATAACTGGATGGCCTACCTGCCTGTCAGCCTTCCATCTGTGCACAAACTTATCTCGTGCCCTCATTGGTCATGTGTGCGTTCGTGTGTGTTGGAGGAGGGGCTCTATCAGGAAGTGGCAGATTTTTTCCGGCTGTGTATTTTCAAATTCTAGCGATCTCGAGCCGGTTTCTCAAACTTACCTACCCCACCTTTAAGTAACAGAGCATACATAATAATACATACAAATATGATCTAAATAAAGAATACACCTCTCATACTCATGGGAGAGTGTTGGAAGGCTTTTAAAGAATTTAACAAGCGCTGACGCAGTTTGTTCACACGCTCACATCTAAGAAGATTCTTGATTGGGCCAACATTTAACAGCAAAACAATATCAAAACATCCCATTCACAAACTCACAAGTCCATCTACTAAACCAGGGTATATGCAGGACTCCTGAAGTCAAATGTAATTCCTTTTTTAAGACCTTTTTTAAGACCCTTTCCATACATTTTAAGACCTCATCGCCCCTTCGAGTTCTAACCGGTTACATTGGCGACACACTTTACCTCACATTGACTATATACAGTATTGATTGTCCTTCCTCCTTATCTTCCAACCATTTGGACGCAAACTTGCATTTCCCCATAACGATGTTGTTTAACAACCGGCGTAAACGGACCTTCGCGCGCTATCAAGCAGTGAGCGTGCGATGTCCTGTTCAGATGACGTCAAATCCAACGGGATGCCATAAATAAACTACACAGAATCACACTACACACCTACGCAATGATTACATTCAGGCAGACTGTAGAATACAACCTCTTTGGACAATTTATATACTCATTGAAAACAAGCTGCAAAATGTAATACCTTGGAAAATGCCGTTTAATACTTATTAATAGCCTTCATTTTCCCTAAATTGATTTATCAACTTTTAATACTTTTTAAGACCCCGCGGACACCCTGTAAACACACATGCATTTTCACTGAGATCGTACCGTTTGAAAGGCGTGTTTTAAGTAGTAAGATATAGTAAAAACAAGTGTGTTTGGGAAGTAAGTTAATGAGACCAAGGAAATAGTGCACAAGTTTTGATATTCTTTGGCTCTTAAAAAACTTCAATTCAACCAGACTATTCTCTTTTTCTTTTACTCTTGAATCACCATGGAGGCATGCGAGTAAAGGATTTTAAAAAGGTGACAGTAATTGATAATCAAATCGTCCTTTAGTGGTGTGGGAGAGGTTTTCCTTTAATCTAACTGCTGCTTTAAATCAATTAAACTATAATGACTCACTCAATGAAGTTGTTCATGGCAGCTTTAGCATTACATGCTACGTACACCAGCCTCTTCAGGTGCTCCGCCCTCCTGATGGCAAGAATCACCTTGGAATCTGTTTAGTCAGGACAAAGGAAAACTTAACGTGTGTCCGATCCTGAAGCGAGTGAATTAGTTTCCATGTTTTGGCCGTGAACTCACGTAGGCCGGCTCTCGGAGGATCCACTATGGCGGTGAGGTTGGGCGACACCAGAGCATTGAGGATGTTGGGGAACACGTCCTCAGCTTTCCCACAGTGAAACTCAATGTTACTCAGACCTTCAAAAACAAACAAAGGAAACATAATAATAAAAAATAAATAAAACATGTACTTTTAGTTAAAGTCATACACTAAATCAGAGGGTCAAACCTGCAGAAGGTTAGCCCTCAACACGGCAAACTTCCAATTTATAAAAACTATTTAACATCAATTAACTTAACCCATGTTAACACTGACTGAACTAAATGTATGAATATAAACATGTCATAATTCACTGGCTGTATGTATATATCATCTGGCCTCTTACCGTTGAGCTTTGCATTAACCTTGGCGTCCTCCACAGCTTCCTGACACATTTCGATCCCGATAACCTTCTTTACTCTCTACAGACAAAAGTCAACAAATAGTATAAACATTATTTTTCAAGCCATAAAGAATATCACATTTCAAAATGGTTTTGTTTGCAAAACTAGAGCTGGCAGCCGATAGGCGCTAGGGCTTCTGCGACAAATGCTGGGTAGAATACAGTCTACGCTCGCTACACATTGAAGTAAACGGTAATTTTGTGGGGTTTTTTGTAATTATTATTATTGAGTGTTCTTGTATTTTAATGTGTTATGTTATTATTTCGATCTTTCTGTGTGTACAAACATATTTTGAGATTGACAATAAAGTTGACTTTGATATCCTCCCCTCTATCTCCCCATTTCAAATCTATTTCTCTAATAAAGCTGAAACTGGGAAAAAGGTTATACCCAAAAATAAGATGCATTGACTATTCTGCACTATTTCTATTATATTCTATTGTATCTGTTTTATTGTGTTGCACTGTTGGAGGAGCCTGTGACCTAAGATTGTCATTGTCTTAACTACACTGCAGCTATGCACACATGACAATAAAAGCCTTGAAACCTTGAATGTGCAGACGGATAAATTATGAATTACCAACTCCTGTCAGTTCAAATGAACAAAGCATAGGTTCAATAATAAGGTTCACAGGTTAAATGCGTTTCTGTTGACCGGTCACCTTGGCCAGAGAGATGCCGATGGTTCCCGTCCCGCAGCAGACGTCCAGCACCGTGCTGTCTTCACTCAGCTGAGCCCACTCCCCCACCGCAGAGTACAACACCTCCGCAGCTCCTGTGTTCACCTGCAGGGGGACATTAACACTTAACACTGGAAACACTTAGTGTAATAAAGGCCTTTACGGGCCGGTCCACACAGCGGCGTGCGTTGAAAGCTTCACCATTCACTTTGAATGGGGTGACGTCACTTTTCGCCGAACTGCATTGTGGGAAGCGAAGCGGAGCTTTGCTGGCGTGGCTCGCTGCAAAAGTTGAGCAATGTTCAACTTTTGAAGCCTCGGCAGAAGCGTCAGCCAATCGAATCATATGCCAGTACAAGCTCTAGCCAATCAAACCGCTGCTTGTGTGTCAGGGGCGGGAGATTCATGTGATTGGTTGTTGGTCGAGTTTCAGACACGCCCGCCGGCAAGCTTCAACGCACGCCGCTGTGTGGACGGGCCGTTAGAGCTGCAAGCAATTATGTTTTTCGTTTTGTTGTTTGTATTCTCGATTAATCGTTTAGTTGTTTGGTCTATAGATGTTGGAAAAAGTCCTCAAATGACAAAAACACAAAAATGTCCCAAATTAGGATCAATAAAGTATTATCTTATCTTATCTCTTTTGTACAAAAATCTAAAGAGATTCAGTTTATCGTCTGAGAGGAACCCAACAAATATTGACATTTAGTAAGCTGGACTTCTGAATTTTCGTTCTGGCATATCAAAATAGTTGTGGATTAACTTAACAGTTCAAACAAATCCAATAATCTTTGTGTTCTCAAATACAGAGCTCCAAAAGTAAACAAAAAAGTAAGTCAAAGTAAACAAAAAAAAAGAGTATACACATAGCATTTTCCAATTTGCTGAAGGTCTCTGAGGTAATCTCTTTGTTACCTGGAAGAAGGAGTGAGGAGATATCCTGAACTTCAGACCCAGCATTTCCTCATGGATGCTGCCCTCTCCGGACACCAGCTCACAGGGCAAGCCCTCCAGGTTAGGAGAAGTCCTTAAGAGGAAAAAACAAAACTCATTGAGAATGTTTTATAATCGGCTTTCAACTGTTTGTCATTCCTTTTCTCTGATACCACAAGTGAAGCGTCAGGATGTTTTTCTTACCTTTGACCCTCTCTAATGAAGTAGAGAGACGTTACTCCGCAGTCCTTCCCCTCTCCTTCTGTGAAGTACGTCTTCATGGAGTTCTTTAATGCACCCACTTCCTCTTCGTCAAGTTTCTAGAGTCAATGAACCAAGAAAAGGTCAGGAGAAATCTAAATAAGTGACAGTTTCATCCCACAGGCCATAAGACTGTCAAACACCTG